CCTGTCTATTCCCCACACAGTGGCAAGAGTGCTCCCTTTAACTGTCAATCAGATTATGCCACAGCTATGCTCAAACATCTCTAAGGACTCCCATCTCACTAAGGGTAAACACAGGGGTCTCTCACCATGGCCTAGGAATAAATACCTGTGTGATGTGCTCGCCAGCCACCCCTCTGACCACATCTTCTGTAAGTGTCGCTTGCTCACTTCACTCAAGTCACATAAAACCATACTCCTATCTTGAACCTGTTCACACACCGCTTTCCTCTGTGTATAAATCTCTCCCTCCAGATATGCAGATGGTTCACGCCTTCACTTCATTCAAGTATTTGCTCCAATGTCACTTTATCTTAGAGAGGACTTCCTACCCATCCTATCTAAACTGTCACCCCTGTCTGTGTCACTCCCATAACCCAGCTTAATTTTTATTGATAACATTTACCCCCAACCTGACATGGCATCTGTGTATTTTTTAACTTTCTTTCCCCCATCAGGACATGAACTCCATGAGAAGTGCTTATGCTTTGTTCATACTTTATTCACTGCAGTACCTGGATGCTCTGGCGCTATAGTGCACTGACTGTTGCAAGGAAATCAGTTCATTGTGTAAGCTCTTTACATGGTACCTACAACAGTGCCTGGTACATGGTAGTGTTATGGGTTGACTCCTTCACTCAGCGAGATAGACCATCGACTCAGAATTTAAATTTAAGAGCCTTTATTAAGCTGGCCAGCTGACTACAGTTACAGCACCCTGCCGAAGCAGAGGCCAAACTGCAGCGCTGACTGCAAGAGTTACATTTTATTATTAAATTTTGTGGAGGCCCAGAGAAAAATGTGTCTTTCAAATTCTGGGCCCCCAATATGGAGGAAACTCTCTTTATTTATACTTTTTCCAGTCCTTTGTCTCCCAAATTTGGAATGAGACTTCCGGGCCTTCTGAGAAAGAAGGCCTGCGTGCTGGGAAGGGGCCATGAGATCATATCTCAAGGCCTGGCCTGATGTCAGTACCTTCCTATCTATGTGTTTTAGGAACAGACAGCACAGCATGACCCATCTGGCCAAAGCACCAGATATGCAGCCCAGCACAGTAGGTCCTCAAAAAATACTTGTTCAATGAGGTTTGATATTTTTCTCCATAAGGCCATGTATTTCTCTTGATAGAGTTATTCCTGGATTCCTTCTATATACTTTAGAAATTTCTATTTTCCATATTTTCCCTATTTAGAGTTCTGTTTTTATGAAAAAGAAAGAAAATTGCTCAAAAATTAACTTGACATCATCTCTACTTCTACCATATAATCACACTCATTCCAGAGTGTTATTTTAAAACAACTAGCACTCGAGATAAATAGGAAAGCATGTTTTAAATGCAATATTTTTGTGGTGACAGTAATATATTATGTCATTTGTCATTCACAATAAAAGAGAATTTCAGAATCTGTCATGCAAACTGTCTCTATGAATAAGAATTTGATCCTAGTACAAAGGCAGAAGGTTTGGAAGAGCTGCCCCAGCTTCCTGGCCAGTACAAGGTACACAGGAAAATGCAACTCAGATTATCATATTGAAATCTCCCCAAATGGTCCTACTCTTGGACAATTTAGTTTACTACAGTTCCAGGGCCACTACAGTTCAAAGCATTCCTGCCTTTCTACCGGCAGTCAATTAAGTAAGGGCAATTACTCTGCAAGGAGGTGACAAGTCCTTTATGGAAGATATTGAATTCTAGGTCAGAAAACAGTGCATTGTTAATGAAAGGTCAGTAAGCACACAATGAGCCAACCTCACTGTACAGAACCACTGCAAAGGGGAGCATCAGGCTCCACAGTGAATGCGGGGCATACAGAGCATAGCGCTCACTTACTGCCTTCGGCATCCTTTCAGCAGGAATCTCTCAGAGCTCAGTTTACTACTGTACCACAAACGTTCACATTTAACAACATAAGGTGTGCTAAAAAAAAAGAAAAAAAAGTTGTTCTCATCAATGCTTAGCACTAGAGGACCAGGACTTGACGGTATTTTGTGGGACCCACTGACCTTCAAAGGAATTCTTAAGTAGGCAGCAATGTTGACTTTGATAGCTGAGGTAATGCTTAGTGAATGGAAGCATATTTTTTATTCAGTACATGTAACCTCAGCATTGTTCAATTGAATAACCTCTGTTACTCCAACACTCAGAGTATTGATTGCTGTTTTAGAGCTGTGATATACTCTTCATTATGTGTGTGTGTGTATCAATAATAATATATATAATGTATATATATATCAATAATATATATATATGTATGTATTATTGATTTCAGAGAGATGGAGAGAGAGAGAGATAGAAACATCAATAATGAAAGAGAATCATTGATATGCTGCCTCCTGCACAGCCCCTACTGAGGCCTGAGCCTGCAACCCAGGCATATGCCTTGACTGGGAATGGAACCTTGACATCCGACACTCAACGACTGAGCAACACTGGCTGGCCCATTCATTTTTTAAAGGCAATTATAGGGTATCTCAACTTTGGTTATAGTTAACCAAGTTATTGGGAGGATGAAAGGAGTTCCATGATATTGCAGTGTAATCAGACAAACCCATCATTTTTTTTTACCAGCACAAAAGGTAAAGGGAAGAAGTAATATAGCAGTATTTTGAAAGAAAGATATGGGTTACCATATATGAATTACCAAAGGATCACACTTAAACGTTTTTGTGCCTTTTTATTCAGAAAAAAATATATAATAAACATTGTTTTAACCAAGACTGCTCTTAAAAGAGCCAAGTACCCTCAAATTAAATTCATGCTTCTTAGCTCTCATTTTCCCATAACACTGGAATAATTCAACCATGGCATTTTGCCAATTACCTCCAGAGTAAAAAATAGGGTACTAACCACCTCTTTTTTCAAGGAACAAAGTTTTTAAGAAGCAATTGATTACTGCTTGCCGGGATAAACAGTAATTCTCCTGGGAATCTATTATTTATGGGATAAACCTTGAAGGGAAAAAAATTCAATCTAAACACATTTATTGCTTTAATGGTCCTTGGAAGAACATAATCTTATATTCTTCCTTCTCTTTTCTTCTCAATATTATGAGAGTTTATTTTCTTTTAGCAGTCTATAGAAATAAAGGTCTGCAAACCACAAAAGTGCTCAGAGCCCTACAAAGATTTATAATGCATTGATAATATGCAATTTCAGCCTTGCTTCTTCTTTCAAAAGGCATATAATATCTAGATGATGAATATATACAAGTATATGGATGTAGGTCACGAGTATGTGTGTGTACTATTTCTTACTCCCCTCATAAATGCAAACATATATATTAATTTTCAGGAAGATTTAATATGAAATTTCAAACCAATATACAAAAATAATAATCACATGGAAAAGCTTCAAAATCAATACCCTCTTGGACAGTATTGCTATTTACCATAGTAAATAACAGGTGATAAAAATAAACCTTACACTCTGCTGAAATTTTAAATATAAAAAGGCTGAAGAAAAAATTCATTTATGATAAATTCAGGGAATATAGAGAGATACTTGAATTCACATATTCAATGAATATTATACATGCCAAACTATTAAGACATTTATAAATTATCCTTCAGCTCAGCTCATGTCAGATTGTTTCCATAGCAATGGTGAAGGGATAGTTAAACATCACTTTACCATTTCTATAGCTTGGGTTTGTCATATCCTATCCATTTTCATTTTTTCTTTAAAGAAAAAGTCGCTCAGTGGTTGAGTGTTGAACTATGAAATAGGAGGTCATGGTTCGATTCCTGGTCAGGGCATATGCCTGGGTGTTGGGCTCCATCCCCAGTAGGAGGCGTGCAGGAGGCAGCCGATGTTTCTCTCTCTCCCTCTCCCTTCCTCTCTGAAATCAATAAAAATATATTTTAAAAAGAAAAAGTCTGTATGCAGCTAAAATTTAATTTGGTAATATTTTTATTTCCTTTCATTCTAGAGCAATACATAAATAGGGCAATATTGGGTATCAGCCATATACTTCTTTCTTCCTGAGATTCTAGTACATCAACAGTTTAACATGTAATATAATAATTCTTCTTCACATTGGGATTCTTTACATTTTTATATTGAAGTGCTTGAAGACCTTCCCAACCCTCTTCTCTCCACTCCTCCCCTCCTGTGTGTATCAGTTAGAGTCCTGGCAGGAAGCAGATGGCAGACTCAAGCATGCCAACTTACCAGGGTTTAACAAAGGGACCATTTGTGAAGATGTGACAGAAAATAAGAAACCAACAAGAAATAGAGCAGGTACCTCCTGAGGACGAAAACGGCCAGAGTTGTTCCTATCCCTAAGCCACAAGAAGCAAATAGAAGTGATGGGACCCCAGAGAGGGCAGCTGAACAGAGGGCCACCTGTCAGGGGGTGCAGCCTTCAGTAAGGGGACACACCTACTCATGAGAGTGACCTGGCCAGAAGACAGCCTCCGGACTAAATACCCAGACTTGACCTCCTTCTGATATCCTGCCAGTGGTCTTCACTGGTCAAACCAAACGAGAATCCAGAGGACAAAAGAATCTATTCATATGGTCTAGACCCGTGGTCGGCAAACTGCTGCTCACGAGCCACACGGCTCTTTGGCCCCTTGAGTGTCACGTGGGGCGCGCACGTCCAAAATACCAACCACGTGGGGTGCACGCAGAAACTTCGTGGCCCATGCGCAGAAGTCGGTATTTTGTGGAAGAGCCACACTCAAGGGGCCAAAGAGCCGCATGTGGCTCTCGAGCCGCAGTTTGCCAACCACTGGTCTAGACAGATCAGCCCCCAGGAGGCAGAGCAGGGTAGAAAAGGTGATTGGAGAGGTAGAATAAAGGCATTCGTCCCACCCCGGCACAGGCATATAAGTCAGTGAAAATCACCTTTCAATTTGCAAATCGCATGGTGGGAGTTTCATCAGCAGAACGAGAGAGCAATTTGTATGCTAACGAATCCGTGGGAAAAAGGAACACGTTAAATAAGACACTTGGACACGTGATAAGGTAAGAGAAATATTTATTTACTTTTGCACAAGAACGAGCTTATACTGAACAAATTCAACCAAATAATATGAAGTGCATTAAAACAAGGAAATAGGAATGACTTTTCCTGTTAGAAAATATTAAGTAACCATGCCTGTGCATTATTTTTATCATTACAATAACTTGTGTCAGGTTGCTTTTCAGAGTGTATACTGTACATAACACGTTATAGCTTCTCTGCTTTGCTTCTGAAAATATAATTCATTCACTGCCTGGCGTTTTCTTTTAGACAGTGAGGACCCTAACTGATTCATGAAGATTCTGATCTAGAGAAAAATTTTCTGCACCAGTGAAGCTAGAGGCTTTCAGAGCTCTGCCGGGTCCAGGCTGTGTATCCAGGGGTCATGAAGTCACGGTGTGTGTTCCACACCCGTTCTTCCACACGGTGATGTCAGACACAGTAGAGACAGAATTCTGGCCTAGTTTTGCCCCAAGAATTTTCCTTATGTGATTTTTCTCAAGCTCCACAGATTTCATAATTGAAAGTTCACTCAGCTATTAACAAAGCTGCACCTAGCTGCCCACAAATCATCCACTTTAAGGTTTAACCTTTTTATTTTATTTTTATTTTTTGGTCTTTTTAATGAAAAGAACGTTCTTTGAACAGCAATCTCCCGTGAGACAGTTAACTTCACAGTTCCTGAAGGCACTGTGGATCCACTGAGCAACAGATGTGGCCATTCTAAAAAAAAGAGGAGGGGGTGGAGAGAAAGCACAGTATGAATTTTTAAGCCATTAGTAAATGCTCACACTTATTGATCGGTACACACAAACATAACTGTATGGTTTATTTATTATTTCTGTACCACTAGAAGTTCAATGGCCCAATCACTTTTCATGTCTGTACTATAGCAGAACTAATTATGTCCAGTTACTTGTAGCAAATTATAGGCTAACTTTATTTACCCCATTGCATCCTCTTAGGTCACATTCATCCTTTTATTTATTTACTAGAGGCCTGGTGCATGATTTTGTGCACGGGTAGGGTCCCTAGGCCTGGCCGGCGATCAGGGCCAATCCGGGTCTTCCAACTGCCAGCAGGGGCCTTCCTTCCCCAGCTTCCAGCTGCCAGCCGGGGACTTCTTTTGTTCTGTGTCACCCCCTGGTGGTCAGCGCACATCATAGCAAGCTATCAAACTCCTGGTCTCCCGGTCGAACTACCAAGGGGACAATTTGCATAATAGCCTTTTATATATATAGACTAGAGACCCAGTGCATAAGATTTGTGCACTGGTGTGGGGGGGTTCCCCTCAGCCTGGCCTGCACCCTCTCGCAGCCTGGGACCCCTCAGGAGATGTCTGCCTGGCGGTTTAGGCCCAATCCCCCTGAGGATCAGGCCTAAGCCGACAGTCAAACATCTCTCTTGCAGTCTGGGGCTATTGCAGTCCGGGACCCCTCGCTCCTTACTGCCTGCCTGCAGCAGAAGCAGGAGAGGTTCCCGCCACTGCTGCTGTGCTCACCAGCTGTGAGCCCGGCTTCTGGCTGAGCAGTGCTCTCCCTGTGGCAGCGCACTGACCACCAGGGGGCAGCTCCTGCGTTGAGCATCTGCCCCCTGGTGGTCAGTGCATGTCATAGCAACCAGTCGTTCCACTGTTTGGTCGATTTGCATATTAGCTTTTTATTATATAGGATTCACAAAATAGGTATTGCTATCTAGAGCCCTCGATATAGTAAAGAATAAAGCAGACATGCTCACTACCTTCACAGGGCAGGGCTTCTAGTTTTCTGAGAGGGGAGAAAACTATTAAATACCAAGCAAGCATACAATAAAAAATTATGAACAGTGCTAGAAAAGAAACAAACTAGCTGGTGCCATGAGAGTGATTCAAGATTAGCTACTAAATTGGATGATGGGGGGAGACTTCTCTGTATAAGTGATATTTAAACCAGGACCTCAAGACAGCTATGTGAAAAGGTAGGCCGAAAGCACAGGGAATGCAGTTGATGTGAAGAGTTCTGTGTAGTTAAGAAACTGAAAAAGCTCTGGGTGAGAATTTTAAATTGGTGACGAAAACGATGTAGAAATGAAGTTAGAAAAATGGGCAAGCAAGGAAGGACCAAAATGCTTAATTAGTTTTTATAACAAAATACTGAAATAATGTAGTATATTACAAAAAAGAAAAAAAATCCTATCTTACTCTTTTTATTTAATTTTTTTTCAATTACAGTTGACATACAATATTATATTAGTTTCAGGTGTACAACTCAGTGATTAGGCATTATATAACTTCCTAAGTCATCCTGATAAATCTCATACCCATCTGACACCATGCATAGTTATTACAATAGTAATATGACCATATTCCATATGCTGTCTTTACAGCACCATGACTATTTTGCATCCACCAATTCGTACTTCTTGAGAGCATGTTTGGAGGTTCTAGCAGGGGAGCACAGCTACTTGTATACCCTTGACTGAAGACGGGTCCTCTCCTCTTCGACTATGGAGCATGCAGCTTAGGGAGGGATGCACATGAATTGGTGAGGGAGGAGGGGGACACCCACCTAGTCAGCCAGATCAGCGGAATCCACCCTGGCGATCAATGGAGTGACAGATGTTGCAGCCAGATCACTCTCACATCTCAATTTGTACTTCTAAACCCCTTCACCTTTTTCACCCAGCCTCTCTCACTCCCCTCCCATCTGGCAACTATCAGTTTGTTCTCTGTACCTATGAGTCTGTTTCTATTCTGTTCATTTGTTCATTTTGTTTTTTAGATTCCACATATAAGTGAAATCGTATGGTAACTGTCTTTCTCTGTCTGACTTATTTCATTTAGCATGATACACTCTAGGTCTATCCATGTGATTCCAAATGGTTAAGATTTCATTCTTTTTTATGGCCAAGAAACAGACAAGTGGATAAAAAAAATTGTGGTACATATACACAATGGAACTATAACTTATTTTTTAAATTCCTTGCACCTTATTTTCCTCAACTAGCTAACAAATAATGATGATTACACTGTCACTACAATTGTAAGGTGATAATATCCCTCCAGTGCGTGAGCGCATTCTCTGTCAGACACTCTGCCAGGCACTTTAGACACATGACCAACCTCGCAGCATTCCCAGTAGGCTCACTATTAATAGATGTTTTAGATTCAGAAACTGAAGTTTAGAAAGCTTAAATATCATATCCAACGTCACATAGCTAATACATGGTATAGCTGAAATAAAAATTCAGGTTAGTCTGACTCTAAAACTCATCCTCAAGTCGATATTTTCTCTCAAGAATTGACTTTAGAACACTGAAAATGTATTATACCTTAATGTGATAAAATCAAAAGTGTCTGTTCCTGTAAGATAAAAAGTAGAAAAGAAAAGATTTTGATATTTTAGGCTTTGTTAAAGCACACCAAATGAGGAAAATCTAGTCTTTATCCAGGAAGATTATCTATTTCACCTCATCCTCTCCCATTATAAACTGTTCTTAAGCAGAGCTCTTACTCTCACAGCAAGAGAGAGTCTCAGCCATCTCTTGAGTCTCTAGTGGCATCATGAAGCCTTGTCATCATATCAGAGGAAGAGACTTTTTGACCAAACTTGGTTCCATGCTCTTTCCCAATCCAGTGACCCAATAAGAGGAGGGATGTACCAGTGCCTGAGAGTATCAGTTTCTCAAAGTGTGTGGCTTTTGAGCATTGAGTTAGGGATTTTCTGGAGCCTTTTGCCATTGAGTATGTAACACTAGTACTAGAACCCTATACAAAAGAAACCATTGCTATGGTTGTCATGAACATGTTTTTAGAAAGGGACTTTATATTTTCTCAAAATTTCCAGGAATATTTTTCTTATTCCATATCAACATGTTCTGCTGTAACAAGATAGTCTACAAACCGTATCACTGGACACCCATCAAGTTCATACAGGAAGGATAGTAATTATTTTAATAAAATATCCCATTGAGGTCTGGTTTCAGTAATGGCATAGTTGCTTATAAAAGACTAACCCTCCCATAGATAACTATAAAGTCTAGACAAAATATAAAAATAACTATTTGAAGCAACGGAGAGTGACAAACATCAGGCAGATACAGAGGGTTTCAATCTGTAAAAGAAGGGAAATGTACTGTGTGACATTCATTTTTCCTTGGCATTTCCCCTTAGGGTACTGCCTAGACTGTGTGTCTTAGGATAACTGTGCCCCAGATGCCAGAGAACAATTTTTAGGGCTGTTGGACGGTCAGGAAATTCAAGAGAAAATATCTAGAAAAAAAGCGCATCAGAATATAAACTTCCCTCAAACCTTTGTCTGCTTTTGAATTACAGAGAAGACTAAAATAGTCATAGCTTGAAAGTTGAAAGATCTGAGCAGAAATTTCAGGTGCTGATTGATAAACAAGCCAGGCTTTTCATTAAAAGCCCAAAAGGGCCATGATGAGGAGCAAAACAATGTTTCAAGATTAAGAAATTCAACCTTAAATCTGGATTAGATCCACCTAACCAGCATAAATTCAAGCCTCCTTAAATGCAAGGTGACTGGCCAGTAGTATGCAACTTGCTAGAACAAAAACAGTCTTTGGAGGAAACTAATAGAACATAAGTTCTATATCCTAAATTATCCATGATTTCCAATAAACCTCAGCAATTATTAGACATGTAAAGAAAAACAAGAAAAGGTGACTCCTAATTAAGAGAAAAAGTAGTAAATAGAAATTACTCAAAGATAATCCAGATGGTCTAATTAGCAGACAAAGACCGGAAAGTATCTATTATAAATATCTCTTATAAAGATGGTCATAATGAAAAAAAACATACATGGTAAATCTTAGCAGAGAAATTAAACTATAAATAGAATTAAATGGACATTTTTAAACTTTACAGTGCAATATCTGAAATAAGTGAAATATCTGAAATACTGGATGCATTTAACAGGTTATAGGTGACAAAAGGAACAGTCATAAAATTTGAAGACAAAACAATAGAAATTATCTAATCCCTAAAACAAAGATAAAAATATCTACATAAATATAGACCCTCAGTGACCTTCAGGATAGTCTTAAACCATATAACATACATGTAGTTAGAGTCCCAGAAGAATAAAAGGGAAACTATGTGGAAGACAAAGTATGTAATTTCCAAAATCTATAAAGAACTCATAAAATTCAACACCAAACAACTCAATCAAAAAGTGGGCTGAGGACCTGAAAATACACCTCTCCCAAGACATTCGAACAGCCCATAGATACATGAAAAAATGTTCAACCTCACTAGCAATTAGGGAAATGCAAATCAAAACTACAATTAGGTAACACCTCACACCCGTTAGAGTGGCCATTATCAACAAGATGAGCAATAACAAGTGTTGGAGAGGTTGTGGGGAAAAAAAGGGGACACTCATTCACTGCTGGTGCGAATACAGACTGGTGTACACACTATGGCAAACAGTCTGGCGATTCTTCAAAATAATAAGAATAGAGCTACCATATGATTTCTTCTGGGTATATACCTGGAAAACTGGAAAGCATATATTTGCAAAGATATATGCACTCCTATGTGCATTGCAGCATGATCATGATGGCCAAAACATGGACACAATCAAATTGTCCTGTGATAGAGGACTGGATAAAGAAGATGTAGTACATATACACAATGGAATACTACTCAACCATAAGAAAGGATGAAATAGCTCCATTTGAAGCAACGTGGATGGATCTTGAGAACAATATGCTAAGTGAAA